ATATATATATATATATATAGACTAGCAAATTTCAAAACTAGAAAATTTGGGTGATCTGACAATCTGACAGGAATGGGTCCATATTCTTCCTTAGCAACAATCAGCTGGAGGTGAGTAGAGACTCCCCCCTCCCCCCTTTTAGAAGAAGCAACATCTTCTGTGTGAACCAGGCACCATGGCTCACAGACTCTAAGTATAGGCCTCATTCATTTACATCAGTAATTTCCAACTGGGGACAACTTCACCCTTTGGGGGGACATTTGGAGGCATCTGGAAATATTTTTGATTGTCCCATAGGGCTCTGGGGGGGTACTACTGACATCTAGTGGGTAGAGGCCAGGGATGCTATTAAACATCCTACAATGTACAACATAGCCCCACAAACAAGTCTTACTTGTCCCAAGACATTAGTAGTACTAAAAATCAGAAATCCTGAACCTGGCCCCTCTAAGAATGTGGGTTAGCACTTCCAGCAATTTCTGTAAACCCAGGCAAGAAGACTAATATAAGTGGTTTCCAAAAGGCTAGTCTTTACTCCTCTATGCTTCTCTGAGAAGATCGGGCAGTGAGACCCCATGACAAAGTGCAGCAGCAGCATCTAATATTGGGACACATGTTCTGTGCCAGGCACTAACCAAGTGAAGTGACATAGCCAAAATCCCATAAGGCTCTCAACAACTTTTCAAAGTAAGTATCATGATGATGGAATTAAAATTACATTGTTATTGTTGCAGATGACAGAAACACTTCTCAAACAGACTTGGAGCAGAAACCTCTTTTATTAGCACAAGTATAGATCTTCCTCAACTTCTGATGGGGTGACCTCCTGATAAACCCATCGGAAGTTCAAAATGTAGTCAGGCCAATGTGCATTTACTACACTTAACCTGCCATCCATCTCAGCTCCGCCTAGCCTGCCTTGAATGTGCTCGCAACACATACATTAGCCTCCAGTTGGGCAAAATCATCTAACACAAAGCCTATTTGATAATCAAGTGTTGACTGTCTCACTTGATGTCCTGAATACTGTACCGAAAGTGAAAGACAGAATGGTGAATGGGTGCAGAATGGCTGTCGGTGTATCGGTTGTTGACTCCGGGGACCATGGGGCTGATGGGGAGCTGTCACTGCCCAGTATCACAGGAGAGGATCAGCTCACATACCGCTAGCCCAGGGAAAGGTCCAAATTCAGACTCCCAAAACTGGTTTCTGCTGAATGCGTATCGCTTTCGCACCATTGTAAGGTCGAAAAATTGTTAGTCAAACCATCATAATTCGGAGACTGTATTTAGATGCTGCAACAAGACAGCCTGGGTTTAAATACCAGCACTGTTCTTACTAGCCCTGAGACATGGAACAAGTCACTCCTACTCTTCGGACCTCTGTTTTCTCATCTGAAAATGGAATACTAAGAACATGCTCCTCACTGTATTATTTTGAAGACTTTTTTAAAAAGTCAATGCCTGAAAAGTGCTCACAACAGTATCTGGTGCATAGTAAGAGCTCAGTAAATGTTAGTTATTGTTATGGTATTAATTATTATTATTACTATTATTAGTTATTGTTCGTCCTCCTCTTCCTCTCCTCCCCTCTCCTCCTCCTCTTCTCTCTTCCTCCTCCCCCACCACCTCCCCCTCCTCCTCCTCCTTCCCCTTCTTGTTTGAGTAAAAACTCAGGCGATAAACAGGAGTGATAGTTCTGAGTGTTCAACGCATTTCATCAAATCTCTTGCTGTCACCCTCTCATTTGTTCTCAGCTTTTACTTCCTCTGTTTCTTAAGCCCTCTCCCAAGTGTTGACAAGACAGCCATGAACATGTTCATACTCTAGAAGCTCAGCGAAAGCTGTAAGTTCCAGAAAAAGGCCAGAGCTACTCCCGTTGGCCCGGCTTGTGTTATCCTTAAACAAATCCATGTCACTGGGGTGGGGGAAGTGCCTGGGTTAAGTGCCCACCCCTGGGCTTGGTGAAGGAGTCAGCCTCTCTCGTGCCACATGCACTGCGAGTGGGGAAGGCTGACTTCCCAAAGGAAGATGAACCCTTTTTGGTTTCACGAAGGAGAAGAAATCTGAGCAGACAAAAATGATAGCACTACAACTATTTCCAGTTTACGGAAAACTGTCTCTGTAAGACGGAGGAATTTTCACAAGGAGACAAAGCTGGTAAGTGTAGGAAGAATTCAGTTCCTGACTTCTTAACATTCAGGAACAATTCAGTATTAGGAAAACCTGTATTAATAGATCAAAAGAAAAATGTGTCACCATAGATGCTGAAAGGCTTTTGATAGAAGTCAATATCCTTTCTTGATAGATAATCCCTTCTAGCATTAAACTTAAAAAGCAGTGGGACAGACTTTGAAGAAAATGACTTTAAATTGTTTCTAAGGGACTTAGAAGAAGACTTTTAAAAAATGGATATTGGCATGATTTTCATTTTCACAAGCAAACCTATATATTTAACATGGCTTCAGTAGAAATGCTATCACTTTTTTTTTGAGCTAGAAGATCTAATTGTAAAGTTCAATAAAAAGCGTATAAATAAAAAGTGTCGGGGAAATTCAGCAACATATTCTAACACTACAGTGACGAAACCATGGTTCTGGTGCAGAAAAAACACATCAATGCAACAGAATAAAGTTAGAAAATAGGCACAAATAGCTATGGAAATTTATGACGTAAAAGAGCGACACTAACTTCATTTTGGAAAAGATTGATTATTCAGTAGGTGATGCGAAGACATCTGAATAGCTATTTGAAAACAAACAAACAAAAGGAATCCTACCTCACTCCATTAAAACTTACACTAGATGTTCAAGCATTTAAATGTAACTTACTAAGTGGAACCTGTTATGTCCTAGAAAATATGGAAGAATTTTTCGCCACAGAATGAAAAATCTCTTGCTCTTGGCCAATGTAATCACATCGAGGTGAGGTTGTGAGAGATTAAGATGGGCCCTAACTCAATGACTAGTGTCCTCGCAAGAAGAGGGAAATTTGGATGCACAGATGCTCAAGGAAGAAGGCTGTGTGAAGGCAAAGTCAGGCATTGGAGATGCTACCTCACCAACGTTCGCCAAGGATTGCTGGTAACCATCAGAAGCTGGAAGAAGAAGGGAGGATTTTCCCAAGAGCCAATGGAGAGAGCATGACCCTGCCACCATCTTGATTTGGAACTTCTACCCTCCAGACTGTAAGGGAATAAATTTTGTTGTTTGAAGCCACCCAGTTGTGGTTAATTTGTTACGTCAGCCCTAGCAAACTAATACAAATATTTATAAAGAATTTGCATGGGGAGAGAGATGCCCAAAACAAAACTAAGGCAAATGGGAAACATATTTGTAACTCATGTGACAAAGGACAAGTTTCCTTACCAAGAAATCCTGTAAATCAGTATTTTTCAGAAAATCAGCCACTTCATAGGAAATGAGCACATGAAGTTATGTAATGAAGTTCTTATAGCTTTGTCGAGAGAAATAAATCATTTATGTGGGACTCACATAAAGTGATACTCTAGTGAGTGGCCTCAGATCTCCCCTTTTCACCCTCCTCAAGACCATACATGGCATCTTACCATATTCTTCCTGATTGCTTTAGTGACTAAGTAGCTTTTGCTGAAGCCTTTTTAAGGAAAAGAAGGAATCACATCAACATACCATGTACTGAAACGTCATTTTAAAAATCTCTCTTCAAATCTTTCTTTCCTCAAAGTTCTACTCAGGGGACCATGTTTTCTAGTCTTCCTGGCCTTTTCTTCTCACCTATGTAATTCCCAATGCTGCCTTTCAAATATTTTCTATTTCCCCTAGTAACCTAGCTCTCAGCTTGCATAACAGCCAGCAACAGCTTAGCAGTTAGCTGGTCCATCCTTCAAAAACCTTCAGGGGCCAACTACTGTCATACTCATGGGGTTTCATTGATCCAGTCATGTTGCCTTTTCTTGGAGCAGAGAAGCAGGGGAGGACTCTGCTGCTAAGAAACGATATCTTCCCCCAGATGGCCACCAATCAAGGCTGGCTTCCTGGGTGCATAACCCGGGCAGCTGTACTGGACCCACACTCAGAAAGGCCCCACGCTTGGTTTTAATGCTCTGTTGTCAGTATTTTGAAATTTTTGATCAAGGGGCACCACATTTTCCCTTGCACCGGGCCCCACAAAGCATATAGCCAGTCCTGACAAGGAAACTATTCAGTAGGTGTGCCTGGTTGGCTCAGTCGGTAGATCGTAAGACTCTTGATCTTGGGGTCATGAGTTCGAGTCCCATGCCGGGTGTAGAGATTACTTTAAAAAAATTTTTTTTTAAAAAGAAACTATGGAATAAATGGATATTATTCTTCTTACTCAAAGCACAAATGTTTTATCCTCTGAATGGCCAAGAGATAGAGCCTCTCAGATCTTGGTGTTAAAAAAAAAACTAAAAAAGCAAGAGGCAAATGGGGAGAAGAGAGAAAAAAATTAGCTTCATGAACTCAGAAGCCAGGAAAGCTGGCACCATTGCCTTTAGCAAGATGCTATCTGACATCTTTTGGCTGAATGCATCCTTTCATGGGGTGATTAAACAGCAAATATCTCTGAGTAGCATAATGTTTATTAGACATTGCTCTGTTAGGGCAGCTTGTGTTTTCCTTGTATTCTGTTTCCATGTTCAAGTGTGTACAATTTGTTGATTTAAATAAAATTTAAAATAAGCCGTGCTGCTTGAAGACCTGCTGACAGGGCCTCGTGGAAAACTTTGAGAGATTTTTTATTAGGAAACAATTCTGTTTCTGTGTCATGATTTTCTGCACCGTGCCTCCCCTCCAGCCGCTCCCCTGCTCTTAGCCGTGCAGTTCAGCAGCCCCCACACCACTATTTCTACTTTTTGGAATGTTCTTCTGGCTCTCTGAAATATTTCTATCCATGAGGCAAGGGTTCTGTTTGTCCTCCCCCCCCCACCCCTGCCACCGTCCCCCAGGTTACTGGAGAAAAGGGACACGCTTGCCCAGGACAAGGACCATGAGTAACACATACGAGACGTTTTAGATTTTTCTGTGATGCTAA